CCAAGTTCACAGGACAAGGGCAGCTGGTTAGAACTGACTCCAGATGGACGTGTTGAAGCTTGAGTGTTCACAGAAATAGGCTCCAGTAGGACTAGCCTGGTGCTGTGACAGGCGTGTCCTCATGTGGGTGCTGGGGCTGCTCCCTCCCAGCCAGCGCAGCTGCATATATTGGCAGTACCACGCACCCACGCAGCCATATATATGCTAAGCTGGGGGAAGCCCATACCAGCCGCACCCTCAGTGCAGCGCACCCTGCTTTTCCAGAATATCCTTGGCTAGAGAGAGGCACCTCAAGTCTGAGATGCTGGCCCAGGAGTCCTGAGAGGAGATGAACTGGGGCCCTGTTTACTGACTGAGGTGGTGGCCTGAAAACAATCTCTTGTTGGCAGAGATTGCTGGAACCCCTGTGGGCCCAGCTCCAGAGCCAGAAGCAAAAGCAAGGGAACATGGACTGCATGTTGGAAAGCTCTCAGGAAATGCAAAACCAGGTATTTAAAATGCATCACTGTTTACAGGCAGCCCTAGTTGGCACAGGAACCTCCGTGAAGAACTGCATAGGTGTGAAGATAGCCCATTGACGCCCCTGTCTCCTGACCACCTCATACTCTTCCTCATGGCCCTTCATCTTTCTATTCCTAAACACCAATCCACTACGCTCTGGCCTTTGTATGTGTTTTCCCCTCTTGGTGCCCTAGTGATGCATCAAGTCATCTGTCTCTTCCCATCCTTCATACCTGTACTGAAGTGAGAGATCTTCACTGGCACTTAGGTTCCATCAAGTCCACTCTGACTCAGATGCTACATACAAAATGAACTACTCCCCAGTCAGTCCCACGCCATCCTCAGAATTGTCACTACGTTTGAGCCGCTGTTGCAACGACTGGCAGTCCATCTCAAAGAGGACCTTCCTTGTCGCTGACCCTGGAGTTTCCCCAAGCTTGAGGTCCTTTTCCAGGGCTTGGTCTCTCCTAATAACATGTAAGATGAGGTCTCATCATCATCTTAAGCATTTTGATACGCTTCACCCAGTCGTCTTGGCTTGAAGTAGGTCTCTCTGGTGTTTCATAATCCCGTCCTTTGCCTTTGTAATTCTCACACAGTGCCCTTCAATAATGTTTATTTAATAAAGTCAGAACTGGAAGTTTGGTGCAATCGGGTTTGTCGTCTTCTCCCAGTTCATGATCTCAGTGCCAGGCACAGGAGAACTTGGGGCTGAGTTCAAGGTTAGCACCTCTTTTTAAGACCAAGAGTTAACTATAGGGAGTTCTGGTGACCAAGTGGTAAGAAACTGCTGCAACCCCAAAGACACGCAAATCCAGTTCACCAGTGCTGCTCAGAACTGTGAGTAATCTCATCTGATCAGTAAACCCGCCGAAGGTCCAGCTATGGATCGCTTCTGACTCGAGGGTATATAAGAACAACAAGCGTAAATGCCTTCTCCCACTGATTCCTCAGCTAGCCTCTGTTCCCACTAATGGCTAATCACCAGGGCCTCCGTAAGCCAGTGGTTCTCGTGTGGCAGAAAGCATGTGGAATCAAGCAGCCAAGTTGAAATTCCAAGTGTTGAATATACCATGGACTGCTAGGAGAACAGACAGGTTTGTCCTGGAGAGGGTGAAGCTAGAAGGCTCCTTGGAGTCAAGGATTCGGAAGCTTCATCTGACATACTTTGGGCATGTTGCAAGGAGGGACTGGTCCTTGGAGAGGGATGTCATGTTTGGGAGAGTGGAGGGACAGCGCAGGAGAGGAAGACCCTTGATGAGATGGATCGATTCTGTGACTGGTGGGAATGAGTGTGTTTGAGATGGCGAGGTTGGCACAGGATTGAATGGCATTTAGGGCTCTTGTACATAGGGTCACTATGAGCGACTCGATGGCACATAACAACTCGTTGATATATGTGGTCTTGTTAGGCAAGTTGTTGACATCTCAGTTTCCTTATCCGTTAAATGGGGACAGTAATCTCCAATTAGAGGGTTGTCATGAGGCTTAGGTCTGAACACAGGTGCAAACCTGACTTAGCACTGGGGCAGTCAATCACCGGGTCAACTTTAGCTCCCTCACTTGCACTTTAAAGGACCAGCACTAGGTGGCAGTCCATTGCAGTCGCCCCACCTTCCCTTAGCTGCTGAAACTGACAGCCTGTTAGGACAAAGCAGCTCAACTTGATGTGGAAATTCTGAGCTGCTTGGGGGCCATAGCTGAAGGAATTAAACACACACACACACACACACACACACACACACACACACACACACCCCTCTGTAAGATAAAGTTGGCACTATTGCAAAACCCCCAAACTATCACTACTCGGTTTGCTAGCGTACTAAGATTATGGGTTGCCTGCGTGCAGTGCACCCCTTCACATATGCAGAAGTTCGCATACAGCCACACCTCACTATTGCACTTTATGGCACTTCAGATTTTTAATTTTTTTTTTTTTTGCAAGTCTAGCAATGCCATTTCCCCAACAGCCTCTGCTCACTTCCTGTCTCAGTGCTACATTTTGGTAAAATTCGCAGTACTGAAAACTTTTTTATAATGTGATTGCACACTTAATAGTGTCTTGTTATGTGCCGTCTAGTGGGAACTGACTCATAGCTGACAGACACCCCAACAGATTTCCAGACGCTGTAAATCACACAGGAGGAGAACGCCCACCATTCTCCAGCGGAGCAGCTGAACCACCTGCCTTTGCGTTGTCAGTGCACTTCCTTACCAGTAAGGCATCAGAGCTCCCTAAAATACAGTGTCGTTGTAAACTTAACTTTTCGTTGCAGTGGGGACAAAAAAATTGCAACTAACTTTAATGCAATATTTACTGCAGTGGCATGGTCTTGAACTAAAAATATATCTCTGCGCTATGCCTACATAGCCTTGTTATTGTGTGCTGTATAGTTGGGACCAACTCATAGCTGCCCCTCCAGTGAGTTTTCAGAGGCTGTAAATGGCTTAGGAGGAGATTGTCCAACTTTTTTCCAGTGGAGCAGCTGGTGGTTTCGAACCACATGCCTTTGGGTTGGCAGCCCAACTCCTAACCACTAGAAAACTAGAGCTGTTTATATGGCCGTATAGTCTCACAATTCCAGTATATCTTTCTTTGGCTCCAGCTAAAGATATTGGGCCTCAGACTTTAAATGGAGTAAGTTGTCTTGCTTTGTCTGACTGCTGTGCACCTACCTAGCTCTCTATCAATACAAACTTCACTGTGGCAGAATATGCCTTCAATTTGGGTGGGATTCTGTGACAAGGAGAGAAAGTGAGTGAGTGAGGAGTGTGTGCGTGTGTGTGTGTGTGTGTGTGTGTGTGTGTGTGTGTTTTCTTGGCAATAACTTTGGGAAAACAGAGTGTGAATTCTTCCCAGTTTCAGTGGCTGGAGAATGGGGAGTGAAGAGAAGATGAGAGATAAAGCGGAACTAGGTGATATGGAACCTTGATCCCTGAACCAACTTAGGGAGTGTGAATTTTAGGTCCAATGGGAAGTGAAGAGACTTTAAGGAGGCTGCTTTAACCTGATTTTCAAGACTAAAGTATGGAGACCGGAAGTCGAGGGCTATGGTACAAGCAGGCAAGACCAAAGATTGGGAGAAAAACATAGTGGCTTGTAACTAGAGTAGGGAGACCTGAGGGCAGAGTTAACAGGACTTGTTGATGGACTGATACAGGTTTGAGTCAGAAGAATCAAAGATGACCTGAGGCTTTTGGCTGAAGCAATGTAGAGCAGTTTATGCAATTTTCTGAGAAAATGGTATCTGCGGAAAAGTAGTTGGGAAGAGGCTGTGTTAAGAAGACATGTAGGGACGATCAGGTCTGGAGGATGAAAGAGTTGCAGATTTGAACCCATGAAAAGGTTAGAGACCTTGAGAACTGAGCCTAGAGAAAGAGCAGCTTCTGAGGAGCCGCCAAGAGAGGGAGATGGAAAGCAGGTGGGCCTGCACCAAAGCCAAAGCTCAGGCAAGACCTGCGCAGAGACCTGTCGCGTGGGGTCTGCAGGTGGCTTTGGGATGGCCTGTGGCAGATGAGAGGGACGGAGGGGAAGGCCACTAAGGGAAGGCAGCACACTCCTGGGCAACGAGGCCGGGCGACCAATGGCCCCGGCGGGGATTCAAAGCCTGGAGAGTTGTCCGAATGGGGCAGCTCCGAGCGAGCACTGGCCACAGAAGGGGGACAGATGTGGGACCAGACAGACCTCCCGGGGGGGGGG